CCGAAGCCCCAAGCTAAAGCTAGAATAATAAAATACATTATTAGAACAGTATTGCCTTTATTAAACTGTGACTCAGTATTGCAGTAGAATTAAGCAGTAAGCCACAAGAGGCCGTAGTTTACCCCGATTTTAGATTTGGAAGTTATTTTATCTTTTATCTCTGTGTAATCTTACCTTGTAAGATTGTAATTATTGTAATTATTTAGTGTAATCTTTTAATCTTTTAATTATTTAATCTTTTAATTATTTAGTGTAATCTTACCTTGTAAGATTACACTAAATAAATACGCAGCAACATAAAATGCGCTCACTTATTGAAAACAAACCATCAAAGACAGCAAAACGGTAACCAAGCAACACAGGCTAGCATGAAGCCTTCAGCATACAGGCATACATTAATACTAAAAATGAATTGTTATACGAGAGTATTTTTACAACAGCTCTCAGCCAATCAGGATCAAGGACCGGAAGTGTCCGGTTGATGGAAGTGGATCCAGTACGCTACAGGGTGTGTGACCTCTGCCCCCCCCCCAGCGGCCCGGCGCTCAGGAGCAGCAGCATGAACAACCTGCTGGACCCGGCCGACTCCCACGCCGACCAAGCGGAGAGCAAGAGCTACGGCGACGTCCCGCCGCCGGCCACGCCCGCCCGCCGGGCCTCTGTGGACGCGCGGCCCGTCTCCCCGCTGCCCCCCGCCGACGCCAAGACCGGTGCCGCGGCGGGGAGGAGCTACGGCGAGCTGCCGGCGCCGCCCCCGCCGCCCCCTCCCCCGCAGGGTCTCAGGAGGGCGTCCGTAGACTTCAGACCCATCTCTCCTCTACCGGAGGCGGTATGTAGTACTGGGACTGGACCCTTAGTAACCCCGGGTCCAGTGACCCGGAGGTACTGGGACTGGACCCTTAGTAACCCCGGGTCCAGTGACCCGGAGGTACTGGGACTGGACCCTTAGTAACCCCGGGTCCAGTGACCCGGAGGTACTGGGACTGTACCCTTAGCAGCCCGGGTCCAGTGACCCGGAGGTACTGGGACTGGACCCTTAGTAGCCCGGGTCCAGTGACCCGGAGGTACTGGGACTGGACCCTTAGTAACCCGGGTCCAGTGACCCGGAGGTACTGGGACTGGACCCTTAGTAGCCCGGGTCCAGTGACCCGGAGGTACTGGGACTGGACCCTTAGTAGCCCGGGTCCAGTGACCCGAGGTACTGGGACTGGACCCTTAGCAGCTTTGGTACAGTGACCCAAAGGTACTGGGACTGGACCCTTAGTAACCCCGGTCCAGTGACCCCGAAGGTACTGGGACTGGACCCTTAGTAGCCCTGGTCCAGTGACCCGGAGGTACTGGGACTGGACCCTTAGTAGGGTAACTCTGCTAACTCTCTCTTTCACTCTCTCACACTCACAGAACCTCTCACCTCCCGGACCGGAAAACCCCCTCTTTCCCAAGTAACTGCCACGCTGTGTGTGTGTGTGTGTGTGTGTGTGTGTGTGTGTGTGTGTGTGTGTGTGTGTGTGCAATTGTGCGTGTGTGTGTGTGCATGCATTTGTGTGTGTGTGTGTGTGTGTGTGTGTGTGTGTGCATGCATGCATTCGTGTGTGTGTGTGTGTGTGTGTGTGTGTGTGTGCATGCATGCATTTGTGTGTGTGTGTGTGTGTGTGTGCATGCATTCACGTGTGCGTGTGTGTGAGCATGCATTCGTGTGTGTGTGTGTGTGTGTGTGTGTGTGTGTGTGACTTCATCGTCAGCGCCGTGTGATGAAACTTCACCCCTGGGGGGGGGGGGGGGGGGGGCGCGTCTCTCATTCCCTCCCTTTCCGTTTCCAGGGGGACCAACCCCTTCGCCACCGTGAAGCTCCGCCCCACGACCACCAACGACAGATCGGCGCCGCGGATCCTTTGATCCGTCTTCGCGCCGCCGTCCCGCCGCCTGAGGTTGGTGATCACAGAGCTTCCTGCTCCTGGTGTACCAGACGGGCTGCAGGGGGGGAGGTCCCTCTGTAACGGGCGGCGGTCATTTTTCTATATCGGAGAGGACTGCGAGCGTCTGCGACATCAACTTTTGTTTCCGCGGGAGAAATAAAAAAAAAAATGCGGGAAAAGTGAGACCATCGACGTCCGTTGGTTCCGATTCGGGGGAAAAATGACGTCAATGGTCTGATGTGCGGTTGATGGTTGCAGGCGCAATACGAAGCGTCAGAGGCTGGGTCTGAAAGAAAATGCTTTTTGTTTTGTTTCCATCGACCGGTTCGGAGCGGGATAATCCGGGCTGTGCAATGCGTGGTTTCGCCAGAAGGGGGCAGTGTAGGCTGCGTTAGAAGAAGCGGGAAGTAGAGGGAACAAAACAAAAAACCACAAACCAGAGAACACAAAAACCACCTCAACTCTTCATTTTGCCGTTTCCATCAATCTTTTCTAACGCGACGCTTCAAAATGTGCATGAAAATATAAATATGTCGATGGAAACGCGGCTACCGACTCGTATATCAGGAAGTAGCCGAGTGTGACAGCCCCCCCCCCCCCCCCCCCCCCCCCTCGTTCCTGGTTTCCATGGTGACCGTCGTCCAGCCTGGGGACGACACTCTGACCAAAGTCAGTCATCCCAATAATATTATAAAGCAAAGGTTGTTGAGATGAGATTAGAGACGACTTTGAGTTGTGGAAAGGTTCTGGATTAATCCTGATTATATTCTTGTTTATCCCCATCCACGCCTTTGTGTCCGGTATGAATATATAATATATTTCACATATTTAAAACCATCCCAGGGTGCAAATCTGAAACCTGTGTGTGTAAATAATATCAAGCGGGGATGTCTCCTAAAAACCGCCCGCACATGTGAACACACGCGTCACGCCTTAACGTGTAAACTGATGTTTTTTGAATTTTTAATGTCGGACATTGAATGTAAACAGAGCCTCTTGTAGCGAACAGGAAATTTCCCAGGATTGGGATCAATAAAGTTTATATATATATATATATATATATATATATATATATAAACTTTATTGATCCCAATCCTGGGAAATTCTTTTTCAATCACTGTAGGAAATGGTAAATATAATTGGTAACATATTATTTTGCCGTCTCTTTAAGTGTACAATATGTCGATATATATGTATGAGAAAGTGATAATTGAATATAATATGAATCAATATTAATGGTATGGGGTTTGAGACGTTGATACCGCTGAATGTATGGTGAGTAATATAGATGTGTATAACCATTAAACTGACCGTATATCCACCTTGTGAACAGCTGAGACCAAACACAGAGCATGTTGTATAGTAATGCATTTATTCTAATTTAATGTGTATATTATGTGTGTCCATATGTGTGCTGTGGGATGATGCTCAGCTCATCGGTATGAAGTGGTTTGTGTTTTTCTTGCTGGTTCCTCTGTGTATTTTTATATGTACTGTTTATTCTGGGTTTGGTTTGTTTTTTGTTTTTTTTGTGGTTTTTTTTTGGTTCTGCAGTTGACAACAAACAGTAAAAACAAACATCCAAAACGTCCAAACACAGCAACGCGTCAGATTTCATTTCTTTTTTTATTGTCATTGCTTTCATTTACTTGTAGTCACTACATGGTTTCTCTTCAGAGAGCCGCAGAGATGGAGAGGACAGAGGGGAGGAGGAGGCGGGAAAACGAGGAGATAGAGGAGGAGGAGGAGGAGGAGGAGGAGGAGGAGCAGGAGGAGAGGTTTGAGGCAGGGGACAGCAGTTTGAACAGCAGGACTCCGCTCGGCGTCAGGTATGACAGACTTTACTGAAATCACATCTAGAACAGGAGGGTCACGCCACACGCAACACGCCACACGCCACTGAAGCCCGGACCCTCAGATCCCCCGCCGCCGGGCCGGGACAGCGGTGCGTCTGTAAGGGGGAAGTTGCGCCCCCTGGTGGTCTGTTCCTGGAAGTGCAGGGTCCAGGGAGAGGCCTGGGTCCAGGGAGAGGCCTGGGTCCGGTCCGACACCGGGGGGGGCGGTGCAGGAAGTACTCGGATCTTTTACTTCAGTCAACGTATTTATACCACACTGTAGAAATACTCTGGTACAAGTAAAAGCCCTGCGTTGAAAACGTGACTTAAGTAAAAGTACAAAAGTATTAGCATTAAAATATACTTAAAAGTGCCAAAAGTAGAAGTACTCATTATGCAGAATGGCCCATTTCAGAATAATATATATTACATTATTGGATTAAATTTATTGTTGCATTAATTTTGTTCGTCGCTTTAATGTTGCAGCTGGTAAAGGTGGAGCTCATTTTAATTCATTTATACATATTTTATATATATGACTTTTACATACTGCTGGGTAGCTTGTGAATATAATAAAGCCTTACTGATATAATAATATCATTTATTTATTGATTATATACTGCATCGTTAATCTGAATCTGCAAAGTAAACTCGTAACTTAAAGCCGTCGTAAATAAATGTAGTAGAGGGAAAAAAAAGTTAAACATTTGCCTCAGATGTGGTGGAGTAGCAGGAAAAAATAGAAATACTCGTAAAGTGAAGTACAAGTACCTCTAATGTGTACTTGAGTACAGTACTGAGAGTAAATGGTTACTTAGTTACTTCCCACACAGTGCGGTACTCCGAGGGTGGAGGTGAGGGTGGAGGTGTGGGTGGAGGTGTGGGTGGAGCGGGGAGATGGGAGCCGGGTGGGGGGGGGAGGGGCGGCGGCAGGCGGGCCGCTACTCATGCACCAAGGCCTGGAACTCTGCAAGACACAGGGCAGTGCGGTCGTCAGTGAGGGACGGTGTTGGGGTCGGACCCCAGACCAGAACCTGGTCCGGCGGCCAGAGGGTCCGACTCCCGGAGAGACCGGCCTCAGCGGTTCTGTGTTTCAAACCCCCTGATGTCTGCATTCAATGTGGGTTCGAAACCCAGAACCGTCTGGCTGGGAGTCAAATGCCCGAACCGCTACACTGGTTCGGCTGTGGGTTCAGAACCCCACATTCGCTGAAAGGTTCTGGGTTCGAATCCCGGTCCTCAGTCTACCTGTGGACATTGGGGATCGAACCCAAAACCGTTTGGCTCGGGGTCAAGCACCATACACTGGTTCGGCTATACCCAACATTCACTGAAAGGTTCTGGGTTCGAATCCCCAATGTCCTCAGTCTACCTGTGGACATCGGGGATTGAACCCAGAACCAGTTGGTTCGGGGTCAAGCACCATAACTACTACACTGGTGGTTCGGCTATACCCAACATTCACTGAAAGGTTCTGGGTTCGAATCCCTGTCCTCAGTCTACCTGTGGACATTTTGGACCGAACCAAGGACAGCTGCCTCCAGCGAGACGACCCCTGACCCCTTACACCTACCAGCTTATCAACTTTGGACAACAGCGTCAAAAGTGTGTCGTCATGACGACTACACCTGACCCCTGAACAACGCTAATGTGTCCTAACAAAGAAGGGTTGCAGAACCCATGTCCTGCGTACCGTCCATGCCGATCTTCCCGTCTCCGTCCTTGTCGGCGGCGGTGAGGAACCTCTTGGTCTCGTCGTCGGTCAGGTCTCTGCCGTCCTCGGAGAAACCCTTCAGGACAAACCTGGAGCAGGGGGAGACAAAACCTTTGGAAAAGGGAACCTCAGACTCTCCGAGGCGGCCATTAGTGTCTCTATACCAGCTGGTGTTGGGTTGAGCTCTTACTTGAGCTCCTCCTCCTCTATGAAGCCGCTGGCGTCGACGTCCAGCGCCTGGAAGACCTTGTTCACGCTGTCGGCCCCCATGGCCCTCAGACCCACCAGCTCAAAGAACTTCCTGTGGTCAAACGAGTCCGCCACTGGAGGGAGGGGGGGGGAGAGGAGAGAGAGAGAGAGAGAGAGGTAAGTGTGTAGTTGTCATTTTGAATTCAAATTTGCTTAATTTGAATTGAGACTGAGATGATTTTGGGTCCACCTTACCTACAAAGGCATCCAGAGCCTTCTTAATGTCCTCCGCCTTCAGAAGATCCAGCATGGCCATGATCCTAGAGAGAGAGAGAGAGACATAGACACAGAGAGAGAGAGAGAGAGAGAGAGAGAGAGAGAGAGAGAGAGAGAGAGAGAGACAGGGAGAGAGAGAGAGAGGTCAACAGTGGGACCAGCAGGTGGCGCCCCTGAGCTCCCAGGAGACGTGAGCTTCACCACCACAAGCTAAGGTAGAGGAGCTGTTTGAAGAATGTGTGTGTGTCATGTGAAAACTACATAACTGTGTGTGTGTGTGTGTGTGTGTGTGTGTGTGTGTGTGTGTGTGTGTGTGTGTGTGTGTGTGTGTGTGTGTGTGTGTGTGTGTGTGTGTGTGCGTGCGCGCATAGCCAATTCCACTGGTCATATTTCAGGTGGGGAAGATGTGAGGGTAGACACACACACACACACACACACACACACACACACACATTCTTTGAACATGGACACATCGAAGGCACATCAAAATACTATAACTCATTCATGTGTCTCTACATACACATCAGAGAGACAGAGACGCCTTGTGAACTAATGATCCATATATGGTCATGTGATGTCATGTGATGTCATGTGATGTGTTCTGTCCACCCTGCAGACGGCGCCTGGCCTGCGGCGCTGGGACGGCTTCAGACAAGATGAGCAAACGGTTCATACCTCCCTCACACACACACACACACACACACACACACACACACACACACACACACACACACACACACACACACACACACACCACCATAGATCATGCTGGTAACACGCTACACGCATGTTGAGTCAACACTGTGTAGCGCTAGTACTGATTCATCCTTTAGCAGATGCTTTTAATCCAAAGTGACTTGCAGTGAATCAGTACCTTTAGTGAAGTAGTCTTACTGGGGGCCGGTCTGACTGGGGGGCCGGTCTTACTGGGGGCCGGTCTGACTGGGGGGCTGGTCTAACCGGGGGGCTGGT